TACATTTTAATTTTTAATATTTAAATTAATATTTACTTTCAAATTTATGTTTAGTTACTATACCTTCATATGTAGTTTATTTTAATATATGTCAATGTTATTTGTTTAACATTTGATAGTTCATATATAAAAATAACAAAAAATAAATATTAATGTTTAGTTACTTTATTGATAATTATAATCTAAGATGAAATTAGTATAATTTTTTAAAAATAATTTCAGTAATTTATTTTAATATGAAAATTAACATTGGTTAATTTATATAACCGATGTTATATTTTAAAATTAGATAGTTCAATTAAAATAATAATAATAAATAATAATAACTGTGTAATTATTAAGTGAAATGTTACAATATCTTTTAAAATGTAAATAATTTTCTATTTTACCAAATTTACATACATTTACGAGTTTTATAGAGTAGATACTAATCCAATAAAACAAACAAAAATCTATAGAAGAAACAAATACGGATGACAATATATTTATATATATATATATATATATATAGAAGATAGAAATACATGTTAGAGTTTGAAACAATTGAATTTTGTAAAAACAAAGTAAACTATAATACTATTATGTTTGAAAAATTCATATACATATTATATATGTGATTATTACAATATATACAATCTTAAATAAATAAAAGTTTTGTATAAATATAAATGAAAATAAACACCTGCGCGGTTACGCGGGTCAAAATCTAGTCTATTAAATTAAAAGAGAAGTTATAACTCACTTCATGTGTGATTTTTTAAGTTGGACCATACTTAGAAATTTTATAAAATTTTACGTAATATCAATTTATATCTTTATCCTTTATTTGAAACATAAATAAATAGTTTTAAGAAAATTCTAAAAAAATCTTTTAAAAAAATTTTAGAATCTTTTCAAGATATAGTTTCAAATGAATTAAAACATCTTATATTTGGAAACAAAATAAATCTTTTAAAACAACATCTAATTTGAAATGGAAGAAATATTATATAATTTCAAATATTTTTGTATTAAAATACCCGCACGGTTGTGCGGGTCAAGATCTAGTATTGTTTAAAAATGATATATCAAAAAAAAGATTTGCTTAGAATATAATGGGGACAAAAAGAAATTCATATTCAGCTTTGCGAAAAATATAATAAATGTAAAACAAATACATTTTGTAAACTTCACAAATAAAAAAAAAAATTCCTTTGGGTAGATCATCTTTTTTGTCCAAAAAAAAAAGATAGATCATTTTTAAGCAATAATGTGATACATTTGATATACAAACGTTATGTTGGCAAGATTTGTTTTGTACGAAGAAAATAGTATTTGTATAACCCTATGTTAATTTCTTTAAGCTTCGAATAGTGTTGTAATTGAAATATAGGGTTTTTATTGTTCGTAAGCTAGGAATATCTAATCTAATCATAAACAACCCGTCTACATCTTTGGAAGATAAGATTGAGGCATGTCTCCAAATTTCGCTATCAACCCGTCTAATACATTTTCAAGACCTACCTTTTTGGATTCTTTGGAGATTATGGAAAAGCAGAAACATCTTGTTGTTTCAACGAAAGGATACTCACTGGAGAACCTTATTGAGGTATGCACGTGAAGATGCGAGAGAATGGAAAAATATGGAGAATCAACCTATAAGAGTTCACAATTCAAGCTTTTCTGCTGGAGATACTATTACACATTGGAAAAAACCCCCTCAAGGATGGGTTAAATGTAATACAGATGGTTCCTTTCGTCAAGCAGAGATACAAAGTACGGCTGGTTGGGTGTTGAGAGATGAAAATGGACACTATTATGGCTCAGCACAGGCAAGAGGAAGATTAGTTCAAGATGCCTTAGAAAGTGAACTTCAAGCGATACTGATGGCGTTGCAACATTGCTGGAGCTTAGGACATCGTCAAGTTATCATTGAAAATGATTGTCAAAAAGCAATAGAAATACTGAATAATCGGAAACTACACTTCAGATACTACAACTGGGTTAGAGATATACATTGGTGGGCAAGACGATTCAAAGATACCAAGTTTCAATGGACACAACGGAGCTCAAATAAGGTGGCTGATCTTTTATCAAAAAGGATTGCAGATGATACAATGTTTAAGTTTTATTACTATGTTCCTTTGTTCTTGACAGATCCATTACATATGGATTATACTCTTTCACGTTAAGGTAATAAAATGGTCGTTATAAAAAAAAAAATGCAGGAGAAAGAAAAAAAAATACAAGCCTTAAAGGCCTTAGTGTTTTTTGGGCTTTAGCCCATAATTTGTGAATCTAAACCTAATTAGTAGACCGACCATAGTAAGATGGAGAAGAGTTAAAGACATGAAAATCAGAAGGGTAACGACGAGAAAATCAACCAACCACCGCTATGAGCAGTAGTGATGGAGCACGGACCAGTGAAAGCTACGGAGGAGCAGAGCTTAGCCAAAACTGCATCATGAGAGAGGGCCTTGACTGGGCTGTTGTCCTTGATCGATTGAATGCGATTCCGAAGGGTGAGGTCAATGCATGCAATGAGAGCCAATTCGGATTTGAAGAAGTTTTTGTGTAATCGATTGTTCCTTTCCATCCAGAGAGAGTAGAGACAGTGTTGCCAGACCAGAAGGGTGATGGTACGTTTCCAAGAGGGCCCTGAGAGTGTTTGTAGTTGATTCATCGTCGAGTCCCAGTCCGTGAAGTTGACAACGATTGGCCAGATAGTTCCAGATTCCCCAAGAGAAAGAGCAACTGAAGAAGAGATGGTTGCGAGATTCTCTTTTGGCATGACAGAGTGTACACACGTATGAGATGTTCCATGAGAGTAAGCGATCCTTTGTTGGCATTCTATTTAGAACAGCCAACCAGACTTGAAAGCAGTGTCTTGGGATGCCGCTCTTTATCCATACCACCTGATGCCGGGGTACATGCTTTTTCAGAATATTGTACATTTGGTATTTTTTCCAAATAATTCCCATTCGTAGGTGTCAGGAGAAGTATTAAGAGTGATTGAAGTAAGGAAGCATTGAACCTGGAGTTGTTTCTTGGAGACCGAAGCGACCATGAACCATTAATGCATAACTCAGACAACTTGGCATTGTATTCGATGCCCTTGGGTGGAGGTAGTCAAGGAGCTTTCCAAAAGGGCTCCAGTTATCTGTCCAGGTGCTTTCTCCTGATCCTACACCCCCTCTTAATCCAATCATAAACCTCATCTCGATAATTTAGTAATTTGTTGACATACCAGGAAAATTTTCTGTTTTTTTTTTATTTTCCAGAAATTGCTAAGAACCCCAGAGAGGATCCGAAGTTTGAGAAGAGCATCCAGATAAGTTTTAAAGTGCAGGATTTATTCCAAGGTTGAAGGTCCCGACAACCAAGTCCCCCTTCATCTTTCGACAGTATTACAGTTTCCCAAGACACCCTAGCTGAATGGCTTCCTTCCACTGTTCCGTGCCATAGGAAAGCACCTGTCATGGAGTTTATAGCAGGCTATACATGCCTTTGGGAGGACAAATGTTGAGGTCCAGAAGTTTGTTATACCAGCAACCACAGTATTAAGCAGAAGTAACCGTCCTGCAAAAGATAATAATCTTGCACTCCACGAGTTGATTTTTCCTTTGATGTGTTGAAGTAGAGGACCACAATGCGATAATGAGAGTTTCCTTGAGACTAACAGGACACCCAGGTAGCGTACTGGAAGGCTTCCCACTTTAAGTCCAGTAGTGTTCGCTATATTGTTTACTTCTTCATTGGAGAGGCCTGACGAAAATAGAGATGTTTTTTGTAGACTAACTGAGAGGCCAGAGTGTTCCTCAAACTCTCTTAGAATCTCCATAACTGCCTGTACCGAAGCAAGAGAGCAGTCTGTGAATCATCTGCAAAACATAAGTGAGTCAGCTTGGCAGTTTCACAGTTAGCATGGTAACCAAACTTTCCTTCTTGTGCTCCTTTATTTAACATTAGGGATAAACAGTTCATGGCTATAACGAAAAGTTACGGGGACAGAGGGTCACCCTGTCTGAGTCCCCTTTTCCCTTTGAAATAGCTTTGAAGCGTCCCATTAAACCCTATACAGTTAAACCTCTATAAATTAATAATGTCGAGACTTTAAAATTTTATTAATTTATAGAGATATTAATTTACTAAAGTTTCCTTATTTAGTTTTAGCCAAAAAAAGTTTCCTTATTTAGATTTTTTATTTTAAGTATTTTATTTTAGTGTATAGATATTTATTATCATTTTTTGAAATTTTACATTTATATTAAATTTCTTATATTATTTGGTGTATATAATATATATTTCATAGAATTTAAATATGGTTTTAGATATAATATTACTAAATATCATCAAAAATTTATTAAGTGTCACAAAAATATAAAGAAAATTCCCCTGTAAATATAAAAAAACAATAATAGGTTATTACTTATATTAAACATGTATAGATATAAATTATTAATTTATTAATGAGACTATATATTTACATAGAACTTTCTAAAAGATTATTATCTTATTATTTTATCGATTTATGTCAAATTTGGAACCGGTTCAAGTTGGGACCGATAAAATTTATTAATTTAGAGAGATTATTAATTTATCGAATATTAATTTATAGAGTATCTACTGTAGTAAGCTAGGATATTGGATTAGGGTATATAAGAGAGGTTAATTTTCGATTGGTTTTGTTGTATAAGAGACGTAATAACTGATTCAATGTGATTAGTCAAAAATACTTGCTATCGATTGGTGTATATTTTTGGCTGTGGCATTTAATAATTTTTTGTAAAGTTACCGCCACCATTATGATATATCCTGAGTTTGGGGATGAAATTTGAACGTAATAATGAACGAATATTATGAAATAACAGATAAATATCTACCTTCCTGTTTAGGTTTATCTACTCAAAAGACAAATCATCCTGTTTGACCGGATACGATGATAATAAAGAGCAATTATTATTATATATAAATCTAACCACAGCAAGAAGTAAAACATCACTTGTATACTTTTTAAAAAAATGAAAAATCTCTCAACCTTACTATGTGTAGTGGTTATCTTATGTATGATAAGCCATGTATACTGCAGTTTCTGGATTGCAAACGAACTCAAGTTGAAGAAAAAACTGTGGATAAGCTGTTTCTCCAAAGACGACCGAATGGCGCCAGTGATAAAAAATCCAGGAGAAGTATATCAAAGGAACTTCCGCACCAACCTTTGGGGGACAACGCGATTCATGTGTACGTTGAGACAAGGGCCTAACTATAGACACACTCAGAATTTTACAGCATTCGATCAGCAAAGTCCCAGTGATATGGGAGCCTTGTGGGATTGGAGAGCCAGAGAAAATGGTATCTATTTAAAAGTGTGGGGAGGTCCACATAGACAAGGCGCAGTCAATATGCATAAAGCGTTTGATTGGATTTACTAGTTGAAGAGATGAGGCTTATATGCTTATAATAATATCATATTTTGTAATATTTTTCACTAATAAGAGAAAATAATCATTTCAAGGATTCTTTTTTCTTATGTTGCTCCTCCTGTTGATGACATGAACAGGTCTTGATGTTCATGTTGGGATGTGTCTGAATCTGAGATATCTATTTACTATTAAAAGGGCTAATTCAAGGTAGATTATAGTGTCCACATCAACAGTTTTATTTAATCAATAATATTGTTTCAAACCTCAACGTCATTTTCGGTTTGACATTTGATTTTGGTTCTGAAATAAATTACGATGTTTGGTTTGGTTTTCTCAAATACGGGTTTGGTTTGTGTCGACAGAATAAGTAGAGTTTCTGCTTAAATCCTTCTGACAATTACTACCGATTCTGATTCTCCTCAGAGAGCCATAAAGCTTATCACTTTACTGCAGAAATCCAATCGACCTAAATTTATTTCAATCTCATCATCTCCACCCATAAAATAATTGATGAATGTGAACACAAAGGCCAAAATATTGGTGAATGTGAAAGTTTGACAAAGAAGATTAGTTAATTAGTTACATTGTATATATAGTTCTTGGCCTTCTTTTTTGATCTGCATTAGTTGGTGGAACTCTTTCGTGGAAGCTCTTATGACTTTGGGGAAGATACCGACATTGGTGGAGTCTTTCCCTGCACAACATGATTAGCGGATCCAATAACAGTCGTGTCTTCAGCAATCTTTGTGAGCAATTATGTATTTTTTAATCCTTCAAGTTTTGGTTTAAATTTATTGTTTTTTATGAGCCGTTCATATAAGCTTTTCACTGGGTTTTTATCTGATTGGATTCATGCATTGTTGGGTTTGGTACTGGTCTAGCAGCGATGATGTGTTCTTGGCTGCGTTATATTTTTCTTATTGTTGTAAACTGAATTTGACATCTATTGGTGTTTGATCTTGACAGGAAAATCGAGAAAATGTAGAAATTCAGTTTCCAGAGTACATATATCCTGCTTTTTTATCAGGCAAGTGTTCCCATCTGAACAAAAAACAATCCGATTCCAACAGTTGGGGTTTTTGATTGAGTTTCTGATTCATAGATTGCTAATGCAACAAATGTGAGCGAGACGTAAAAAAAACAAGTAGAAGAACAGGGCCAATGAGAAAATGTGTTTAGCATGTGCTTTTAGGAAATTCGTTCAACGATCTTGATCACTCTATTATCACTGAAGAAAGCTAAAGCGAGTGAAAAACTATGCATCTAAAGGTAAAACAAATCACAATATTATATGTTTAATTATCTATATATATGACAATAATCTGGATTGTAAAAATGATTCAGGGCTCATTACGTATTCAAATATATTTTCACTGATAGTCCCTACTGCAGATAAAGATGTCATTCACTTTGGTATCTCCTGCAGTATCTTCAAAAGAAATGACGGCAACTGAGGTCTGCCTCCAAAAACCTCAAACTTTGCTATTGTGGTAAGTTCCTCAACTATCACTATAGCTTGGTATACCATTTGCACGTAGGCCTTTTATACAATTATGATATAGTCATGGAACATCCTTACATGAACCCTTGACGGTTCGGTATAGTAACGAGTTAAAAGACCAAATAATATATCAATCTCATGAAAATGCCAATTCATTTTCTCGCAAATGCACTTAAACAGGTGAATAGGAATCTTAGTTGATGTTTCAGGCATATAGAACCAAGCTGTCATGACCGTCAAAAATGATAGTCTATCTCCTTATTAATACACATATATTTTGTCAGCCATAAAGTCTTGGTGATGCGATCATGCAAATAGTCACAATTATTATATTTCAAAACCATGAAAGAAAAACACAGTCTAAAAGAGAGTACACCAACGCAGCTTGCATAATTGGAGAAGATGGATACTACAAGAATAAAGGCAGGTCCACTAGGAGCTACTACCATGTCTACTCTGTTTTTTATGCAATTTTGATCAAGACCAGTCAATAAATACATAGCTTCAACTTGAAGAGTGGCAGAGAGGTTGAGACATTATTTTCATTACGAGAAGATGAAAGCATATACCGACTGAGCTATTCACACTAACAAGAGTTTGTTTTTAATATATTTTTATAACACAGTTTGTTTTCAAGATAATATTGGCTTTTCTTAACATGCTTTTGCATACTCATTGCATAATTATATGCACTTACAGGACATCGCCAGTCCTATATTCTACTCCAAATTTTATGCAGTGTTTCCCAATCTACAGAGCGATGGTCTGGTTTATATGAGTTAAAGACCAATTTCTGGGTGGTGTTTTAAAAAAAATATTTGGATTACTTTGGTTTGTGTTTTATTTTTATTTTTATTTATAATGTGTTTCCATAAGCTGGTTTTGAGAAAAATAGCATTTTTGTCGTTTGATATTTTTATTCAGTTTATTATTTATCATAAAATAGTTTGGTTTTGTAAAGATAACTGATATAGATCATCTATTTTAATCAGAAACCATGTAAAGCAATTTCATTTCTCTTAATTCCGTTGAAATTTGATAAAAAAAATTTCTTAACCTTTAGCTAAAAAATTTAGTTTTTTGTCTCCTTGATAAAAGAATTTTGGTTAGTGTATCAAATCAATATTTTATAACCGTAAATTAACTATACAGATGGACTTATTTATGTTAATCAGAAACTATGTAAAGCAATTTCATTTTTCTTAATTCCTTTGAAATTTGATCGAAAACGTTTTCTTAACCTCTAGCTAAAAAATTTAGTTTTTAGTCTCCTTGATAAAAAAATTTTGGTTAGTGTATGAAATCAATATTGTATTGCCGTTAATTAATTATACAGATGGACTTATCTATCATTTGAAATAAAAAAAATGAAAAAGACATGTATATATATATATGTCAGTTTGTATTTTTTGTAGAGAGGGCAGAAATTGAAAATGTAAAATCAATATTTCTATATGCATAAAAATGTTTTAAATTAAATGTGGATTTGCCAATTGTTTATATGAAACAAAAGATTTTAGCTGAAACTTATGAATATTGACTATTCATCACTTTTCATTAATTTAAATAATAAATAAACAACAAAGAGTGAGGGGTTGATTGGTTGTTTTGTAGTTTTTTTGTTTTGTTTTTACATTAGAAAATAAGCTGTGAATTGTTTTGCTTCGGTTTCAATTGTTCTGCTATATATTTATTTTCAAATCACTTAATAATATCTGTAAAAAAATTGATTTTGAAAGCTAAAAATATATAAATATATATATATATATATATTTATATATATTTTTAAAAACTTTATACTGTATTTTTAATTTCAAAGCTAAAACATGATTTTTTTTAAAAAATAAATTCTTTAGAAAAAATGGATGTCTAAAACATTTACCATCACTACCAATCAACCCTTGAGTTTATTCATTTCAAATTCGTTGGACAACTGAATAAATTAATTGCGTATTATTATTTATATTTTTGTAGTCAATTTTGAAATAAGATATATATATATACATACTTTTATAAAAAATAAACAAGCTAAAATTAATTAAAAATTATAAGAAGAAATTTATACGGACGTAGCCCGGACAAAGACCCTGGTCAACTATAACAACGCTTGAAGGAGAGGCTTGAGGATGAGGAGGAAACATTGAAAGAGTAGCCAAGGAAGCAGTGTTGCCTTCCTTGAGATTTGCAAACACAGCAGCTTGAAGTCCTTTACCCATCAACCACAAACACGGATCAACAATACACTAGTAAATACTAAATAGACCAAAAGGATTCTAAGACTTACATGAATGAACCTGTTTCGCAGCGTCAGATACTCTGTTCTCCCAACAGATCTGTAAAACTGTTGGAAGAAACATCCCATATATGCAAAGAGAGGAATCCTAGTCCAAGAGCTTGTATTGTCTCTCACAAATGGTGTTTCGCGAGTAAGTTTATACTTGGAAGTATCTGCAACCAGGGCCGTCTCAAATAAATTTTAGATTTTGTTCAAAAAAATTAACGATATATTTATGATTTAATGAAAAAAAAATTAAAAGTTAATAACTATGTTTGATGTTTATTTAAAAATTATAAGTTCTAAACTAGCAATATATCTATTTTTTTTTAAAAAAAATATCATAATTTATCTATATATTTCTTGAAAAAACTTAATTTTTCCTTATTTTTTCTTTATTTTATTTTTATTTTTATATTTGACCCCTATTTGACCGCTCCACTTACACATGCTATTAGACGGCCCTGCTGCAACATACAAAACAGTCTTTCTATTCAATAAAACAGTCTTTCATCTTTGATTATCAACTTTGCCTACTTTCAATATTCAAGATTGGAATATCAACATATGGTTTTTGGGAAGCCTTGTTACTGCAGTATGGAAGAAAGCTTTGACTGAATGGAAGAACAAAAGGCAAAATACAACAATGGAAACCAGCACAAGTCTCGGAACAGAAGGAGATCTTCTAGGGTTTGGTTTTAGAGAATTCTAATCTTAAGTTTATGTATTCTGAAAAACACCTTAGGGTGTTTACAAACCGTGGAAAGTGGACCATCTCAACTTTCAGTCTTTTATGAAGAGAGGCCTTAAAAGTGAAAGCATTAGGAGTATAAAGAGAGGTAACAAAGCAAAGTACATTTGGTAAACTGAAATAAGCTAGTTCGAAGAATTCATACTATATATACATACTAGGGTCCGCCCGTAGGGCGGGCGTGATATACTTTTCTTGTGATCGAAATTACTATTTTTTTAACTCAACAATTACTTATCATTAACCAATTCAATATCATACAAAAAGCTTATCAGCTTCCACACAGGAAATAAACCATAGAGGCACAATATAATACAACTTAGGGACAAATTACTACTTTTATATAATTTTTTGGTTTGTTGTTTAGGTTTACATTTGGAAGAGATGTATATGATAACTTTTTTTGAGAAATGATTATATGTGATAAGAAATATTTTGCTTATCTACAATAGTTATTTATATATTGAAGAGTCATGACATTG